TGTGACCTTGAAATTGACCTTTGACCTACTTTTCACCATGAACTGAACTTTGCAAATTTTGCTTCCCTTTTATCTCCAAAACTGGCAGAGATAGGTCCATAGTTACTATTGAAGTTGGATAGGAAGTCATATACTGGCAATTTACTGTGACCTTGAAATTGACCTTTGACCTACCTTACAATGAACTTAACTTTGATTGCACCATTTTTAGTTATATATATTTTTTGCATATTTTGAAAATTCTTGTTGATTGCATTTTTACAGCTTGTCAAGCACAAGACTGGTGGCTGCACCCCTTATTTTGTGTATGTGGGGGTCTATACGAATGCGCTTGCTCCAGCTGGTGGTACAATATTCGGAGGCGGTATCGCCTCTCTGATCCTCTAGTTTAGAATTATTTAAAGTTTTTGTAAGGTTATTTAGAATTATTCCAAGATTTGTTATTTTATTTTTCAAATCCAGATATTGATGGTTTATTTGGCATGTGCCTGTAAATGATAAAAAAAAAGAATAAAAGAATTATGCCTTGTGAGTAAAACTGAAATGATGTAGGAACTTTTTTCTCAGACTGAAATGACGGTACATTGTTGCTTTGTTTCTCCATTTTAGACTGCTATATTGTTGCTGCGTATAGATGACATCGTATCTGGCGTGAAAAAGCAGGCCGATTTGGACAAACCTCAGGCAGGATTTGAACCAGCACCAGAAGCACCTGAACAGTAGACAGCTGAAGTGATGGACACCAACTTAACTGGTTTGACCGGTCACAGTGTGAGATATGCAGTGATAGAGTATCAATATCGGTCACATGACAGTTTCTTTGGGATGAAACTTATATTCTACCTAGGACAAAGTGCAAACCATTTGGAATGTAAGGACCCATATTGTATTGGTATATGATCTCAATCATGAGCCACTTTGTGTATTTGTAAAAGGCAGGATGAATATTCATACAGCATCAGTATTGAGGATGAGAAGAAGCTGCTGATATGTTGGATACGCATATAATGTTTATAGGCAAAATTGAATGAGAGTTTAAGAACTGTATTAATACACTGTGTTGAAGACAAAAACATTTCATTTAATGCATCAGACTGGGAATATTCATGTTCAAGGTGTTTTTTATAACAAATATTTATTATAAATTTGAAAGAAAGAATTTGGCATTGAAATTACAAGACCTTTTCTCATAAAGCTTTACTTTTAATAAATGAGATTGTGAAACTCCCTGTTATTAATTGTGCAAACAATCTGTAATTACAATACTGATTTTATACATGCAGTATCTACCAAGTGTTTGGTTTGTGTTTGTTAGCTAGAAGCAATTATGTTGAAATATATCCGGTACCTGGCTGTGCCTTTGTAAAATTATTGCTGGAGTTGTGATTATTATTATAAAAATCAAGGTACCTTGAGGTTTTCACTGCCTTGCAAATAATCCTCAGGTTTGGTGGAAAATATTTTTCTTTTAAATCCCTTTTGAATAATACACATGGTAATGTGAGCAGAACAACCCCCCCCCCCCCCCCCCCAAAAAAAAAAAAAAAAAAAAAAAAAAAAAAC